TTAAACAGATGAGGAAACTGAGGTATAGAAATGTAAAATAACTTGCTGAAGGCCTTACATCCTATAAGAGTGAACTGAGTACTTTAATACAGAGCAGTGGGGAGCCATAGTCTGCTCTGAACCACCCTGCTGCAAGGTCACCTTGGTGTCCATCTTGATGGACAGAGAAAACGTCTGCTAGACACATGGCTGCCCACATGGCCACTAGAATACTATAACTTAAAACATTTTTTAATGGATGCTGTTAGATGTGTTGAAATGACAGTGAAAGCTGATATACAAGTGAAAATATTGTCCATACGGGTTCAGGATCTTGACAGTCCTGTTTTTATGCACTGACTTTTTTTGGGGTAAGCAATTTTGGATCAGTAAAACTTGATCCAGAATTGCTTATCAGGATATTAAGTGTTCTAAGCTCTCTTTTCTTATGATTATCTCCTTTCTCTTAAATATCATAGGTTGAATATCCCTTACTCAAAATTCTTGGGACCAGAATTTAGTTTTCATATATATTTTTAAATTGGGAAATATTTTTATAGACTTTACCAATTTAGCATTCCTAATCTAAAAATCCTAAACCCAAAGGGTCTCAAAATCTGGGACTTTTTTACTTTTTCAGTGGTGCATTATATTTGTACACAGTACTTACATATTGTTACATGTTAGTACATGCACACAATATAAGTATAATTTTTTGAGTGCCACAATCTTCAGGGAATAGCTTAGAACCAAAATAAATTGTATCAAAACTCATATTAATAAAATAAACAATAGAAAATTAGTAAATATAAACTATTTACTAAAAAACATTTTATGCAATGACCAGATAGAGTTTAAGGTGTTTTTGCACATCTACTTGGAGGGAAGAGATAGTATCATAACTTTTAGGAATGCTTCACTCCTACATGTGTCGACATCTTTTCTGATCATGTTCAAACTGATTCCAATGGCTAAGTATAAGTTAAATCCTATTCTAATTATCATAAAGTTAACTTTAGGAAGCAAATTTTTTTTTAATTAGAACTTGAATTAAATAATCGAACCTTCAGTTTCTGGTATTTCTGTAACATCAGGAAGCAGAAACTCTGTCTCTTGTCCAGTGCAAAAAAGATCAAAAGCATCCCTTGCCAACATTCCTCCTTATGCTGCTGCCCACCCTCCTTGTTTGTGTTGTAGCTATAGACTCCCTCTAACAATTTAACTATATCCTTGAAGTAGCATAAATTCCATGAATAGCATAATATAGTTAAAGGAACATTCTGCATCAGAAGTTATTTATCTAGGCATATCCATCAGGATCTACTCAGGGCGGAGAAGTGACATAGTGATTTAAGAAGAAAATTTTACATAAAGGTTTGTGAACTATCACAAAGAATTTTCATTTGAAGAAAGGGCTAGTAAGAAGTAAAAAGAACTCTAAAGAATATAGGAATAGCAGATTTAAAAAAAACAACTCCTAGTCCTAGAACTCAGATAGCCTGACCTAGGAAGAGACCCCTGCTCCCCCCACCCAAGGCTAAGCTCCTGACATTGCTGAAGAAGGTACAGATATTGTTACTAGATGGCAGAAAAGCTGCCATGGTGGGGTGTTGGTGAAACTTTCCAGGAATATGCCCTCTAAGGTGCCAGGTAGAGTGGTTTACAGAAAGATGTCTTATTAGAAACACTAATAAGTTTACAGAACTGCCCAAAGAATGTGACAAAGGAAGCTACTTGGTGCTTGGGAATCTCTGTTGCAAGAGAGAACACCAAACCAAGAAGGAAAAACCCTTTCCTCTGCTAGACCTTTCCATCAATCTCTATTCATAAAGGTTCACATTGCACTATCCACTAAAGGAAAAATATCCATGGAATTCATATCCACTTTCCCAGAGCAGGTAATGAAGGGTGAATTTGGAACTAATTTGGGGACAATAAAATGATAACTAGCACACATGGGAATCTCTAACCATTATCAGAATTTGACTAAGGGCTTTCAAAAGCTATTGTGTTGGACTTATTGCAAAATCAAATTACTGTTTTGAATATGTTGTTTTTAAAATTTGTCTCTATAACTTTTTTTTCCCTTTATTGGTTGTTCAAAACATTACAAAGCTCTTGACATATCATATTTCATACATTAGATTCAAGTGGGTTATGAACTACCATTTTTACCCCAAATACAGATTGCATAATCCCATCAGTTACACATCCACATTTTTACATAATGCCATATTAGTAACTGTTGTATTCTGCTACCTTTCCTGTCCTCTACTATTCCCCCTCTCCTCCCCTCCCATCTTCTCTCTCTACCCCATCTACTGTAATTCATTTCTCTCCTTGTTTATTTAAAAATATGGAACGCTTCATGAATTTGCGTGTCATCCTTGCGCAGGGGCCATGGTAATCTTCTCTGTATCGTTCCAATTTTTTAGTATATGTGCTGCTGAAGCGAGCACTGTCTCTAAAACTTTTAAAGAAATTGACTCTAACACTCATTATGTCACATTTGTGCTTAAATTGGTTCTTTGAAACAAAATAAAATCCATCATATTTCAAATATTTTATAATTAATCATAAGAGAAACTGTTACAAAGACAAATGTTTAATATTTTGTTAGAATGAGAGATTTTTACTTATTAGTGAAAATAGCATTTTTTTTGTTTTAAATATTGTAGCAAATTAGTTTTTATATATGTTTCCTGCTCCTGTACTATTATTAGATTTTAAGGGAGCTCCAAGTATTCCTGGTCTGAATCATTCTTATTTACAAAACATTGTTAACATTTGTCACTGTAAATAGCAGAGTAGATGTTGGAGCAGATTAGTTATCTGTGTGTGAATACAAGTTTCTAGGTGAGCTATTGTCATTACTGAAAAATGCAAGAATTATAAGAAATAGTTGAACTTGTATAAGATAATATAAAATAAACCATATCAATACATAAATGTGCCTTATACATATATAGTATAAGGCACATGAGCCATGTGTTAAAGTGCATTAAATTATTTTTCAACAATCCTCAAAAGTTGGGCATGGTGGTGCACTTCTATATAGTCTCTTGCCACAAGGGAGGCTAAGGCAGGAGGATTGCTTGAGCTTTAGGAGTCTGTGTCCACCAGCCAGAGCAGCATAGCAAGACCCTTTCGAAAAAAAGAAAATCTTGAAATATTTTTAATACATCATATTTTGATGAACTGCAGAAAACCTATGAGAAGAAAATATTTGACCCTGTGTTCCAACTGAGACTTCTTAGAAAGATGGTGAATTTTACAGGTGAAACAGTTAAAAGTTCTCGAATGCATTAATTTTATTTATTTATTTATTTATTTTAAAGATAGAGAGAGGAGAGAATTTTTTATTTTTTTTAATATTTATTTTTTAGTTCTCGGCGGACACAACATCTTTGTTGGTATGTGGTGCTAAGGATCCAACCTGGGCCGCACGCACTCCAGGCGAGCGCGCTACCAGTTGAGCCACATCCCCAGCCCCCGAATGCATTAATTTTAAAGGAAGCTTTAGTAACTAGTATCTTTGATTTGAGGAAGTTTTCTCATTCTTGAAAGAAAAGATTTTCTTGATGTTGCCAGCACCCTTTTTTGAAAATATCAATCTTGATGTAAAATGAAAGCTTAAGAGAATGTCTATAAGTTTAATATTTAAAAGATGTTGATTTATGAATATAGAAAAATTATAAGAGAAAATATTGTTATAAGAGAGTCAAGACTAAAATTCTGTCTGCAAGATTAGCATGGTAGCTATTACTGGTTCAGAATCCAACATACCAACTAATGGTAGTTTAGTTTCTGCAAAGGAAGAATTTGAAAGAAAGAAGGAGAAATAAGGAAGAATTGGGATTTCTAATCTTCAAAACTATCTACCTCTCTGAAGCCATCATGGTTTATAGTATATATTACTATTTTCCTATTGTAATTTTTAGTTAATATTCTCTTATTACTATCAATAACAATTAATAATCTTTCTCCTTAAATAACATAGCTTTCTTTCTCAGCAGTAGAAAAGGAGTATATGAAATCTATATTTAGGTATTATTTATCAAGTTTATTTCCCTTAGCATTTTTATTCAATTGGAGGAAAATGTGTTATAGTACTAATAAGGCAAATGAACTCATGAGATAGAGGTCATGATTATTTCATTGATTGAGTTTTTCCTGAGTGCATGGTATCATATTTCGTAAAAATACAACTATCTGTTAATTATTTTCTGACACTTTTGCTCTATTTTATGCTTGTCCTTTTAAATATTGTAGCAAATTAGTTTTCAGATGTTTCCTGCCCTGCACTACCATTAGATTTTAAAGGAGCTGGGACTTGCCAGCACCTTTTTAACTCTCATTTGGACTTGCCAGCCACCCCTTCTGGAACTGGAAGAATAGCAGAGGGCGAGGGATTTATTTTCCCTTCTAAAAATATAAGAAATAAAACCTAACAGATATAATAACAACATACCAACAATAAAAATGGAATGACCAAAGTGGTGAGGCACTTTCAGGCACTTTGAAAAGACATGAGACAGGAAAAAGAACAAAACATCTGTATTCCTATTTATCCTAATCATTCAAATTTTATATTACCAACAGAAACATTGTCAACCTGGTGTCCAAGCCGACTACTATTGACTCTGTTATTTGTGATTTGGAACACTAGGGGACAGCACCAAAATATTCCATCACTCTTTGTTATTGATCACTTGCATACTGTATAATAAATAAGAGATTTCACTCTTAAAGACTATTGAATGTCTTGTTGATTTCAGCAGTTGAAAAAGCACACGAAGGAAGACAAGCTTTTCAAGTCTTTAATTTCACTTTGGGAGAGGGTGATTTGAATAATTTAGAAAAATCTCCCAGGCTGGTTTGTTTGGGGTTGCAAGAAGATAATCAGCCATGATAACTTAAAGAATTGCGATGCTTCGGTTAAGAGTGTTTTGTGTTCTGTCTTTTTATTCTACGAGGATAAATATTTTGCTTAGATTTTTATTCCTACTCTTGTTTTCCAGGCACTTTGGAAAGACATGAGACAGGAGAAAGAGCGAGAATTATTCTTAATTGTTGTGATGATTTGCAGCTTCTAAAGCCTGAACCTGCACTTTCAGTTGCCTCAGAGACACATAAGCACAAAAGTATAGAACAGAGATCCTCCAGCTCCCACCAGCTTGGGCCAATACCTTGCCCTGGTCTGCAGGTGGAGTCTTCATGTAAGGTAAGTTCAAATCAAGTTGCTGCTCACCAAGAACATTATCAACTTGAGTAAGAAGTAATATGCATTCATAAATACATGGTGGCACTTCAGCCACAAAAATAAGAACTAAGAGATGATTGAATCTGCCAAGTGATCTTGGGTGAATTAGGACAGTTTTTGAGTGAATATTATCCTTGCCATGGCATTATTTTTGACACAATAGGTTTCTGGCTTATCAAAATTTAAATCAAATTCTACATAGTTTTCAAAGAGGAGGAAAAGTTACATTCTGTAGTGTGTGTCCAATTTAATTTTCAATTGAGCTTATTTGACCTCTTTTAAACATATATTTGCAAATAAACAAGAAGTTATCAACTAAATCATTGCATGGACAATGCTTTTGATATACTCATCATCTATAGGATCCCCACCTCTTTAGGATTCCAAGCCTTAGTCAATAAACAATGATAGAATTTGCATTTATTTTCATAAACCAGAAATTTGTAATACCTTGATTGTTTTTCACTTTTAAACATGATATTATCATTTTATTTAAGAGATTGTTTTCCATCTTTTCTTCTTCATTGAGTTATCTCAGCATGTTTTAACTGTGCCATTTATATGCACATATCTAATGTATCTTTTCATGTAAACATATTTTCATAATGTTATATATGTAAATTTTATTTGTTAATGGCTGCATCATGCTTTATTGTTTTCTTATGGCTTAATGTATGGTTGTTTTTTATGTTTCATCTATTAACCTTAGTTTTTTTTCATTAAAATTATTTAAAGGACATGTTGGAAACAGGATTTCTAAGTCAAGATTTAGCTGATGAATGACATATTAATATTTTCCATTATTTTAATGGTATTCAATACCATTAATAACAACTTTGAATAAGACCATCTTTTATCTCATGTGTACATATATAGTTAGTGGTAAAGGATGTGTTATCATCAAGAAAGGCCAAGTGGCTGTCCAAGCCATGTCTCAGAGCAGCAGAGCTAGTAACAGGGTGCTAGCACATAATCTTCATACTTTTAGATTTAGAGACCTGATTTAGATTTTATCAGAGTCCAGAATTGGTCAACTGAGTCAGAATTTAAGAACTGTGTTACATAATGAAACACCTAAAAATGAATATATAAACAAGAAAAACACTCATTTTACAATTGCCAATATAACTGGAATTCTGTCCATCCTCTAACACGGAGACTGGAACAGCACCAATTATAATAAAGGCCCTTTGATGAACATGAAGTCAGAGCCATAGGGTTCACTGAGCTCTGAGTCAAATACAGTCAACTCTTTCAGCCCATCACGCTACTGTATTCCTTAGTCAAGACTGATATACAATGAAAAATTCCCAAAGATTGTATTTCTCTTCTTACTATTTTATTTAGACTAACCTATTTTGTTTATACCTTCTTCCTTCAGATACTAAGTTCAGTGCTTATGTAACAGTTGTTTTTTTTTTCCCCCTTTTCTTATTTAGTCATTTATTTTAGGTTGTCAGAATCTGGTTTTTTTTAAAAAAAATTTATTTCTAACTTAAAAGGAGTTATTTTTAAAGAAAAATTGCATCGATACAATTAAACTTTTAACATTCACAACTGAACGAACGTAAGGTGGGAAATTGAATCACACATATAAGGTTGGGGTAAATAAAGTGCAGCCAGTGAGTGCAGCTGAAGGACACACATTCCTGTCCAGAGGCTGCCTTGTTGCTCTCAGTAGACTGTGTGTCAGTGTGAAGGGTGCAGGATTGGTTGGGGAGAGCTGAATGTCTCTTGACCTGTGTGTTTCAGATGCTTAAGATCTGTGGGAGGAAATCTCATTCAAGTGCCAATTTTACTAGTTTAATTCCCAGAAGGTAAACTGATTGCTATTTCTTTCAGTTTCTTGGAGAACCTCAGAGCTACCCTTTAGGTAGAAATAACAGTATATATAAATTTCATTTTTTAAATGTAATTTGTAACTTTCTTATCTTTCTTGACTTCAGGAAGCAATAAAATGCCAGAGTCATTGTCTTCTACTCATAGGCTGATTTCAACTTTATTTTCTAACTGATGCCCTTTACTTTAGATGACTACAGTTTCCAACCTTTATTCTTTATAATTGAAGAGGAACGAAATTCAACAGGACTATCACCTCCTTTGTTCTACATACTATACTTCTGTTGTTACTGTGTGTAATGTTAACTACAGATATTTTTATTTGTTTTCTAAATTATATCTTTTCCAGTTATTTACTAGGTATCTTCGTTACCTATCATTAATTTGTTCTTTTAACATTTCATCTTCTTAGAGTTAAGACTGTTTAGATTGTTTTATCTTAATCTTCTTTAATTTACAACTTTGATAAGTATGAAATTCAAAGCTGCTTTTAAGTGCCCCGTTCTCCTTATTATTCACATAGCAAAATGCTTGCATCATTTTCAGAAGAAAAAAAATCAACTTCCAAAAAGAGGATTTAAATCACGCTCATTTTATAGGTAGAAATATAGTGAGCCCATGAAATTCTGGGTGTCTAAGCTTACTTTATATTTCAGGATTTGTGTGTGTGTGTGTGTGTGTGTGTGTGTGTGTGTGTGTATGTTTTAGTGAGATACAAGTAAAATACTCTAACAATAGGGTGAACTAATGAAACAAAAGAATAGCATGTCAAACACGTGAGTGAATGATTGATTTTTGTTTGGCAACATTAGGACATTTCGAGAATGTCATATTGTTTTTCTTCCTTCATTTAAAGAGTGCTTAAGATTTGGGGAGAGGTTTAAAAGAAAACAGTAAATACAATAAAAAAAATTAAAAAAAAAAAACTTTGAAAATGGGTCCAATCTGAAATGTTAGAGAAGTTGAATTTGTGCAGCTAGACAAAGAAAAATCTTTGAGATAGGAGAGGATGGTCAGAGTCTTAAAGGATTTAATGGAATACGATATCATATTAGTGATGGGAAGCTGCTTTTCTTAGATACTGCTGAGGATAAAACAAGATAGAACCTGTATAAATTGCAGTGGGAGGAATTTAACTTCAAAGTAGGGAATAAACATCCTTGTTAATATCATTTCTACATGGCAGAAATTTTTGTAGCTTTCTTGTATTTCAAGGAGAAAAAGCATTTTTGTCTGGGATTGGTTGGTTTTAAATTCCTAAATTCTGCTTTTTTTTTTTTTTTTGTGCCTGAAAAGTGAGTAAAAGGAAAAGAAGGATTATGTTAACTGCCACATTTTAGGCCCATTGTAATGTCCTGGGAATGCCTTCTGCTGAGCTGACTTTATCTCTAGAGTGGGTCTCAGCTCCCCTGGTTGCTTATTTAGAGCTTTGCCTAATGTGGTGGCCATTAAGCACATGTGGCTGTTGAGCACTTGAACTATGGCCAGCCAGCACCACATGTTAAAATGGTTATATTTATCATATGTAAGGTTAAATAAAACATATTTTTAAAGTCAATTTCACCCATTTCCTTTTTTTTAATATGTCAATTTAAAATTACAAAGCTGACTTGTGATTTGCTTTTTATTTGTATTGAACCCTGGTGAACAAGATCAGGTTTAAGTAGTTTTTGTAGAGAACCAAATAGTGAATATTTTAGGCTTTTCAGGCCAAATCTTTGCTGTGGTACCTACATAAGTCTGCTATTGGAGCACAACAGCAGTAATAGACAACTCTTCAAGTGTGGTTGTATTCCACTAAAACTCCACTTACAAAACAGGCAGTGGACCAGAGTTCTTGCACTGGCTCTAGGTTGCCAGCTTATGGTTTGTCCTGTCCTGTCTGGACTGGGGATCATAGTCAAAAAGAGTCAGTGCTTCCTATTTCCCCTCCATATCTAATGTACCAGGTGGAGTGTAACCCAAAAGACCCTATATCAAGTCTATTCTCTTACAGAAACTAGGAACTATTTGAAAACCATCCTTTGTGAAAAACAAATGTACAAATTATGGCTCCCAATCCAAATGAATTTTTTAAAATGGAATTTTCTTTAAATAATGCACTTATATATATTCACCTTTTTTAAACTGAAAAACTGATAATAATTAAAGAATACATTTGCATTTATTTCCATTCTGTTTGAGCTTTCTAGAAATATGACTGTATTTTTTTAAGGTTTATCTGACCTTAGGTTGATGTGTTTGGTGCCATCTGCAGAAAAATCTTATTAGAACTTTATACTATGACCTCTTGTAAGACACAGATGGTGCCTTGTTAGAACACCAAAAACTGGATCCCACTACTACCTATACCTTATCAGAATGAAAAGTTAGTTCTTTCATATTTTATGACACCCAAAATAACCAAAATGAACAGGTAAAATTCCCAAGTAATTATATTTGAACATTTCACCTGTAAATTTACATGTAAATATTAAATGGTCATTCATCATGGCAATGGTACAATTTTCGGCTTAACTTACTTTTTATTTAATTATATTATCAAATTGTATCACTTCAAAAAATAACAGTATCTACTTAAAAATAATTGCATTTTGTAAGCATAAATCTTCCATGTTGAATGACACTTCTCACTTTTTTGACAGGAAATTAATTTGGGTTCTGTTCTTTTTGATGTTTAATAAACAATGTATGGTTATTTTCTAATGTGGAAAATATCTTGCATTGATTTTATACAATTTGGAAGAAAATAGACTTCCTATTAAACATGAGAGCACTTAATGAAAATACAATGATTTCTTTCTGTAAGCATTAGATTAAAATTAAGTACTCTGATTTAATGAATCCCAGCTTAAAACTTTAGTGCTTAAATGGTAACACCCTTTGTAGTAACACAGAGTAGGCAAATACAGAATCGGGGAGAAGTCTACAAGGCAGTTTCCTTTATGACTATATTTGAAATGATGCAAATGTTTGGCAATGTGTAGCCATTTCTCATAAGTCTTTTATAAATAACTTTAACTGCTCTAAGTTAAATAAAGACTTCTATAATACATAACAAGTTTAAAAAATAACTTCTTTATAAAGAATGTCCCTTTTCTCTGTGGCCCAAGTTGAAAAAA